GCTCCACACAGAGGGCTGTGGTAGCTCGTTGGTCTGTGGTTGCGTCAAGAAGGACATCCAGCATAAAAACAATCGCCAAGTCTTCATGTGCACTAGTTCGCTGTGGCGACCCTTGAAGAAGGGAGCGTCCGAAAGTAGAAAAAAAAAAAAGTAGAACAAACTAAAGTGTAGTTTGATATTGCTGTGGGCACCACTCTGAACATCAAACAGAAAGAAGAGCTGCCTGAGGAGTTCAGAAAAAGGACCATACAGTAGATGTTATTGTTAAAGGTAAAGGCCACAAGACCGTCGCCAAGCAGATTCATAATCCTGTCACCAATGAGATTAAAAATACACTGCCTGGCCAAAAAAAATAAAGTCACCACCTGGATTTAACTAAGCAAAAAGGTACAAGCCTCCTATTAGATAATTACTGCATGGGTGATTATCTTTCAGCTGGCAAAAAGTTATTTAACCCCAACAGGTGCAATGAGTTGCTTCTCATTTCTTAAACAACCATGTTGAAAGACACATTGTGTGGTCGTGGAAAAGATGTCAGTCTGTTTGAGAAGGGTCAAATCATTGTCATGCATCAAGCAGAGAAAACATCTAAGGAGATTGCAGAAACTACTAAAATTGGGTTAAGAACTGTCCAACGCATTATTAAAAACTGGAAGGATAGTGGGGACCCATCGTCTTTGAGGAAGAAATGTGGCCGGAAAAAAACCCTGTTTGATCGAGATTGGCGATCACTTAAATGTTTGGTGAAATCAAATAGAAGAAAAACAACAGTAGCACTCAGGACTATGTTTAATAGTGAAAGTAAGAATATTTCCACATGCACAATACGAAGAGAACTCAAGGGATTGGGACTGAACAGCTGTGTAGCCTTAAGAAAACCACTAATCAGTGAGGCTTACTGTAAGAAAAAGGCTTCAGTTTGCTAGGGAGCATAAAGATTGGACTCTGGAGCAATGGAAGAAGGTCATGTGGTCTGATGAGTCCAGATTTACCCTGTTCCAGAGTGATGGGTGTATCAGGGTAATAAGAGAGACAGGTGAAGTGATGCACCCATCATGCCTAGTGCCTAGTCATCAATGCAAGATCTTGTGAAAAATTAATGCAACACTGGATGGAAATAGATCTTGTGACATTGCAGAATCTTATCGAAACAATGCCACAGTGAATACATGCTGTAATCAAAGCTAAAGGTGGTCCAACAAAAATA